GGAATCTTCATGGAGTTTATTTCTCACTCTTTGGAGTACATGTGTCTTATTAAGGCCTCCAATTATGCTTTTGCTTCTCTATCAAGATGTCATTGATGCAGTGCATCAAGCCCAATGTTCTTTGGGCTTGTCCAGACCACCAAGTTCCCTTTAGACTGTGTTATGACAGAGGACAACACAGTTAACATATATAAAGCAAATAAATATTGCTATCAGTTTCATAAAGCAGAGTATTTCTCTTTCCTGATGGGGATAGAAAAGGACACATTTACCAAATCAGGAGCTACATGCCATGTGTCTGCCATTCTAAGTAATCTGTTGTAGTATACTCTTCATATCAGAATATTATATCAGATCTCTTATTAGGATAGTCTCATGACCTACCTGAGACCATACAATTTGGCAGCTTTAATCAAGGCTGCTTCTTGGTTGAGCTTGTGTTAATCTTACAATCACTCTCAGGGACCCGCTTGGTTTCTTTAGGGGCCAGGCTGGCAGATTAAATGAAGATATGCAAGGGATCTTCCTCCTTGCAAACTTTAGATCTTTAAGGGTAACCCTAATCTCCACTAACTTTCCTTGAATGTGTTATTGGGAGAGGTCACTGAGAGAACTTGACCACTAGTTGACCAGCAAGTTGGACCTGGCAACTGGAGGTTCCTCACCACCGAAGGTGCATTCTGCTTGACTTACTTATTCCCAAAAGCTGCACCAAAGACAGCCTTGAGATAGTGATGTGGTGTCGAAACCATCTGGCTAGTGTAGAGATCTACTTATCTTGCAGCTGCCAAGACAATCCTCACAGGTAAATTCCCTTGCTTATTAAAACTGCTACTTACCAGTCTGGAATGACTGGTGTCTTTCTTGAGTCTCTTCCTGCCCTCTTCATGGGAACTGGTTTCAAATAACACCCAGGATCTTCATGAGGTTACAAACTAATAGTGGTATCTTGGCTAAGGTGGAGGGAATAGTGATTTATTTTCAGAGGTTTTAGTTTGGCTTTCCCCAAAGTGATAGTTCTTTTTATTTTATTTTATTTTATTTTTAAAAAAATTTTAATGTTTATTTATTTCTGAGACAGAGAGAGACAGAGCGTGAGTGGGGCAGGGACAGAGAGAGGGGGAGACACAGAATCAGAAGCAGGCTCCAGGCTCTGAGCTGTCAGCACAGAGCCCGATGCGGGGCTTGAACTCACAAACCGTGAGATCATGACCTGAGCCGAAGTCGGTCGCTCAACTGACGGAGCCACCCAGGTGCCCCTTATTTTATTGTTTTTAAGTTTACTTATTTATTTTGAGAAAGACAAAGACAGTGCAAGTGGGGGGAGGGGCAGAGAGAGAGGGAGAGAGAGAGAATCCCAAGAAGGCTCCACACTGCCATTGCAGACCCTGACGCAGGGCTCGATCCCATGAAACCGTGAGATCATGACCTGAGCCAAAACCAAGGGTTGGATGCTTCACCGCCTGAGACACTCAGGCACCCCCTCCACCCCAAGTGTGATTGTTCTTAAAACACAGGCCAAAGCCCTAATGAAGGTGTTACTCTAGGTAGAGTGGCTTCTCCGACTGAGTAGACTCAGGATTCCACTTATTTTTTTATTTTTTAAAAAGATTTTTTTTTTTTTTTATTTTAAGTAATCCCTACACCCAACATAGGGCTCAAGCTTTCAACCCTGAGATCAAGAGTTGCATGCTTTACTGCCTGAGCCAGCCAGGTGTCCCAGGACCCGTTTATTATCTGGCCCTCAAATGCTTCCACTTAACAGGGGTGTCATCATGATACTTGATATCTTTCGTTATCAACTTAAATAACATGTCCAACAACGGTGGAAATATCTGGGTTAGTAATTTTCCAAGTGCATTCTGGAGTTTGTGAAAACCTTATGCTCCTAGTAATACAAAAATGTCACTTGCCTAGACGATGGTTGGGTTTCTGAATGCTGGCTTCTTTTAGAATGGAATGCAAGAGTAATGCACACTGAGTAAGTAAACAAGAACATATGCTTTGCTTTCTGTCCTTTATGTACATGTATAGGGATGATATTGGCAATTTCTGGGGAGTAATATTTAACTTTTTTTCTATGTATGTTGCAAAAATTTTTAGGCTTCTATTGATATACTCACACATAAAAAACGGTGTTGTATCTGAAGATTTTGTTAAGAAGAACACTGATTTTTGTATACCTGAAATTCCAGAAAGCATTAGAGCTGTATGATGAGAGTACCAGTCAAAAATAATCTCTTCTGCCCCTTACCAGTAGATCATTTCAACCTCTAAACCCAAAAGACCCAGAAGGCAGCCTGGGATGGGAGACAGAAGACCTACGTGTAAAGGGAAAAGAGAAAAGCTTACCATATGCCTCTTCCCAATGCAGCTTCCAGCTTCCAACTGAAATAAAATCTGATGAGAAGGAAGGGGAAATTTAATCTCGATAAAATATCTAGTTTGACTATTTCATTAGACTCGATGTACAGTTGCTAAAGTGAGAGTTTTATGAGATTAAGTGATTAGGAGAGATTTATTAAGCAAAAGTGGCCTAAATAGCCATGTGATCCACCTGAGAAGTCAACCAAAGGGTGTGGAAGAAATGCCAGATTTGATCAGGCAGCAGAGAGAAAAGAGTAGAGTTTAGTTTTTTTGCTGCCACACTATGAAGTCACACTCTTTTAGCACAATAGTTAGATTTGTGGAAGTGTAAGAATCAAAAGTGAACCTAGATAGTGAGGCAATTTACAAAGAATAAAAAAAAAAAAAGCTTACTTCTTTTTTTTTAATTTTTTTTTTTCAACATTTATTTATTTTTGGGACAGAGAGAGACAGAGCATGAATGGGGGAGGGGCAGAGAGAGAGGGAGACACAGAATCGGAAACAGGCTCCAGGCTCTGAGCCATCAGCCCAGAGCCCGACGCGGGGCTCGAACTCACGGACTGCGAGATCGTGACCTGGCTGAAGTCGGACACTCAACCGACTGCGCCACCCAGGCGCCCCTAAAAAAAAGCTTACTTCTAAATATGTCAAGTTTGAGATACACGTAAGTCATTTAAATGAAGGTATAACACAGTGAATTAATTACATGGGGTTAGAGCTCTGAAAACAGGTCACTGTTGGAGATCTTAATTTGAAAGTCAGCATAAGTAGTATTAAAGTCATGGAGGTGGATAAGTGCAGTTAGGCCAAGAGTGAAGACCTGAGACAAGCGGACTTGGAACAAGGCAATGAAACTTCTTACATTTGGAGATCAGAGAGAAGAAAGGAAGCTAACTTGAGTTACTGAGCAGAGGTATTCAGAGAAGTAATGGGAGAATGACCAAAGAAGTCAAGAGAAGGCAGGAAAATATTGGCAAACATGTCAAATGTTGCTAAGAAGTCGAGAAGGGAGGGGTGCCTGGGTGGCTCAGTCAGTTAAGTGTCCAACTCTTGATTTGGGCTCAGGTTATGATCTCAAGATTTGTGAGTTTGAGCCCTCAGTCAGGCTTTGCACTGGCCATGCGGAGACTGGCCAGTCTCCCCCTGTTTTTGTCCCTCTCCTACTCACGCACCCACAGGCACGTTCTCTCTCTCTCTCTCACACACACACAATAAATAAATAAGCATTAAAAAAAAAGAGGTCAGAAAAGGATTTGTAAGTGGCTTGCTGAAGAGCATGATGAAGGTCATCGGTGAAGCTAATCAGGGATGTTTAAGTATAATGGCGGGATCAGGATTCGTATCAGAGACCATCAAAAAACAAGCTCGATGTGGGAAAAGGAAGAGAAAAGAACACAGTGTGCAGCCGATTCAAAAAGTTCTCCTGTGAAGAGGGGTGGAGAGATTTGGAAATAACTACAAAGGTATATGGGCTTGTGAAATTTGCTTAAGGAAGGGACATTTTGTAGCGTGTTTGAATGATGATGGAAGGGACCAAGTAAAGAAGGACGGTTTAAAGAAGCAAGACAAAAAGGTTCAGCTCTCAGTAGATCTGGAGAGGGCATGTGTTTATGGGATCAAGGATACACGTGGAGAGAATTCTTTTTGATAGAAGGAATACAAAGGCAAATATAATTAATGAAACGAAAGTGATCCCGGTTTGCAGGATCCAGCATATAGACAAACAATTTGTTCAAAAAATAGTTTAGTGTTATATTCCTTAGGTTGGATGGGGACTCAATTGTTGTAAAGACACCAATAACATAACAGTCACATAAAAAAGTTGAGATGGATGTGCTCATGAACTAGAAATGAAGAAATCGAAAAATCTATCATTACACTGTGACTTCAATGTTTTATGTCTCTACTTCTTCATCTAAACAGCAGGTGTCCTTCAGTATTTTCTGAGCATCTGCTGTAAGCCCAGTCCTGGGTTATAGCTAGATATTTATTTTGGTTAACCTACAACTGACAGAATTCATAAAGCAGAGCTATTAATCTATTTTATAGATGAAAAAAATGAAGTAAAGAGACAATAAGTTACCTGAGGTTCTGGGGCTAAAAAGAAGGCCAACAGGGACTAAAAATTTATGTTTTCATGATTGTAATTCCCCTTATGCATTACAGGAATGTTGAAAAATATAAATATATCGTAATCAGTAAAGTACCTTGTACTATTCTCAGTATAAAGTCCCAGTATGTGTTTAGGATGTTTTTTTTTTTTTTTAATTTTTTATTTTTATTTTTAACGTTTATTATTTTTGGGACAGAGAGAGACAGAGCATGAACGGGGGAGGGGCAGAGAGAGATGGAGACACAGAATCGGAAACAGGCTCCAGGCTCCGAGCCATCAGCCCAGAGCCCGACGCGGGGCTCGAACTCACGGAGCGCGAGATCGTGACCTGGCTGAAGTCGGACGCTTAACCGACTGCGCCACCCAGGCGCCCCTAGGATGGTTTTTTAAAATATGCCAATAGCAGAGCTATCGTGTATGTCTTGAAAATTTATGTAATGAGTCGGGAGTAAAAAAAAAATCATCTGCAAATATTCGGTATTTTTCACAGAATTTGCATTGATTTTTCCTTATTTTCCAGAGCCATCCCTCGCCCTAGTCACAGCCATCTGGTTTCCTTCTACATCTTGCTATCTCAGTAAAGCTAAAGGAACAAGCTGATCTGCTGGGAGCAAATCAATTTCTCATTATCCTTAATGTGTGAAGATGAGACTACTGACAGTGATCACAGTCTTTGTCTACGGAGAGGGTTGAAAACTTGTGTTTACATAACAGAAAATGTTTTCATATAGAAGAGCCGGAATAGGCATACATGGCTGTGGGATGCTGTGCCTTAACGTGGAAGCTAATTCCTCTCAACAAATAAACTTAGCATTTCTCAGCGTAGAGGGCTAAGAGGCCTCTTTCTGAGAATGTGGAAGAATTCGAAAGAGGTGTGCATCTATCAAGTACTTCAGAGTGCTTGAAAGAATCTGGCAGAATTTAGAGGTAAGAAGATCAAAGCGAGGAGGGCCAGTGAAAAAATGAGATAAGGTTCCTATTCTCATGAAATACACATTCTAGTAGAGGAATACATAATGCAAACAAATAAAAACATGAAAAGACTCCAGTGGTAAGTCCCATGTGAAGGGTTAACATAGGGTACTGTGTTGAATATGACTGGTGACTACCTTATTTCGGTGGTTGAGAAAGGCTTCTCTGAGGAGGTAACATTTAGGAAAGAACGCACTTGTAGGGATACCCCACATGCATACAAAATAGGTAGAAGGATGCTTCTGGAAGAGGAAAGAACCAATACAAGATCCTCTTTTTTTCTTTTTTTAAATTTTTTTTAACGTTTTATTTATTTTTGAGACAGGGAGAGACAGAGCATGAACAGGGGAGGGTCAGAGAGAGGGAGACACAGAATCTGAAACAGACTCCAAGCTCTGAGCTGTCAGCAGAGAGCCGGATGTGGGGCTCGAACTCATGGACCGCGAGATCATGACCTGGGCCGAAGTCGGCCGCTTAACCAACTGAGCCACCCAGGTGCCCCGAACCAATACAAAATCCTGAACCCATTTTGGAACTGGCAATGATAGCAGAGCTAAGTGAAAGTGCCCATAGCTTGCAGATCCTGGGTAGATGCAGTGAGATGAAGTTAAAAAGGTTGGCAGAGACCAGATCTCATGGGGCTCTGAAGGCCAGAGTAAGTCATCCAGTTTTTACTCTCATGTGTATAACAAGCCTATTGGACAGTTCTGAGTAGGGGAAGAAAGTAATCCGATTTAATCTGGGAGATACACGGAGGACGGGTTACTGGGAAGTTGAAATATAAGCAAAAAAGAATCTATAGTAGTCTTGTACACTCACCCGTCATATAGCGGAGCTTTATGTAAATTTGTACATAATTTTTTAAGGTTATACTGCTAAGGAAAAACCATGGTTGAAAAATCATAATTTTGTCCTATATCACCATCATAAAAATAATTGCAAAAATATTTCTTACTCCACCCAAATACATCCTGCTATGTAGTCTCATCAGTTTCTAAGTGGTTCCCCTGCATCAGATACATGAATATTTGCTGAGTTGGTCTGTGGTACTCATACTTTTATTATTATTACTCTTAATGTCTCCAAGTCACTCTATTTCTTAGATGCATTATAAATCTCCATGTGTTCCTTTGCCGGAGGCTGTTAATGTTTTTAGTGATATAATTTTAAGAATGTTGGCTTTATTTCTATTCATCTCTGTGCAGTGCATACTCCATAGCCTCAGGAACTTGTGCCCAGCTGTAAAAAGGTGTAGGTTATTACATTTTTGTAATTCACAGTGAGACACTTCTATTTTACAAGCATGTCTACCAGAAATGTCTTTGTTTAAGACACATGGACACCTGGAGACTTGAAAACCATAACAAATCTGGAAACTGGAGCCAGAAAAAATTATGCTGGGGATATTGTCTGAGTTACATAATAATTGTAAGAAATGAAAGATATTCTAAGACTGTTCTTTTCTGTTTGTCCTTGGCAATCAGCACACTATTATTGTCAATCATAATAACAAGCTAATATTTCCTGCATGCTCATTCCTATATACTGGCTTAATATACCGGATACTGGTTTTACAATCATCTTATTTAATTTTTCCAATGATGAGCTTCTAACCACTACTCTAATCCCTATGTGCCAAACATGTGCTGCGTACGTTAGGATATTGAGTTAATACAGGAAGTCGTTAGTCTTCATCAGCTCATACTCCGTGAAGCAGGTAATTCCATTGCAGTATGCAAATATTCTAACAGCTCTCTATAGCAGGAACCTGGGTTTGAATTTAGCGTGTTGCCGCTGTGGAGTGAGGTGGCCTAGTGTGTGTTCGCCATCCAGCCTCGTGAGTTAGATGTGAGCCTTATAGAGAGATAGGTTGTAGGAAGAAGGAAAAACCTCTGCATTAACAAGGGACTTAATGAGACACAGGAAACAAGAAGAGAGGCTTTGGAGGTCAAAGGAGAAGGATCACTGAATACACAAAAGCCCTTGGCAGCCACCAAGCTACAGGCTGCTACTGAGAATTGGAGGAGATATCTCTCGAAAGGCTTAGTATGAGGCAGCAGAACTGTCCTTGTGACACCTTTCCCCCATTTTTCAATAGCAAATTGGAGAAGAGAGGGAACACAGTGAGTCATCCATTGATTTTATGGGGAAGGCAGTGTTTGTGGTTAGAATGGTCGGAAACTTTCTCTTTGCTTTGCTCCCTTTGGAAAGGCGAAAGAAGGGCAAAAAGAAAAGGGATGTTTAGCATCCTCACAGTAATTCCCCTCCCCCTCCCAAGCCAAGTGAACGCAGGAAGATTCCAGTTAATCACTTATAGATCTGGGAGGTCTCTATGAAAATCTGCAGGTTAACTCTGGAACAGAGGTCCTTATAGGAGTGACAACAAATCCAGGAAGATGATGGAGGTGAAAGCAGAAAATCCGGTAAGATTTAATTGGAGAATGTGATGTCTAAGGTGTCTTTAACATGGAAAGGTGTCCAGGTGATAAAAGCAGAGGTCATTTCTGGCAGCAAGAACAACTTAACTTCACGTAGTCCAGAATAGGAAAGAGGATACGCAGCAAGTTAGAGGTGAAGTATGGAAAGTGTTACCATTATGACAAGACTTCCATGCCATGCCCCAAATTTTGAATTTTATCATGTGGAATAGTGTCGCTACAGATTTACTTCTTTGTGATCCTTCTGGAAGAAGTTTATAGTAGAAACTATTAACCTGGGTGTGAGAACTGCTAGGAGGATGAAGGATGGAATTCATGGATATATGATTATTTAAAATTGTATGTGAAATGTCCTGCGTACATGTCTATCTTCGTACTGTAGACAAAGTGTTCTTTATTCTCATTGGAGAAAAAGCTCTAGGTTTCCAATAGATGTCAAGACCCAATGGATTAAGGGAAATACATTAGGAGTCAAGGAGAGCACTTAGGTGGTTGCCACTGTAATACAAGAAACAAATGATCAGGATCTAAACCAAACAAATGACAACATGGTAGCACTTTTTTGGGGGCAGGGAGAGAGACTTGGGAAGGAAGCAGGTAAAGGATATCAGTGTTGACATGCTGAATTTGAGATTACTGTGAGACTTGCAATCAGATTTGCAGTAAGCACTTGGATATATCCCTCGGGAGCCTTTTAGAGAGAACTGGGTTGGAAAAAATATATTTTGGATTCATGAGAATACAGTTGCATTTGAATTGAAGTTGAATCCATGAAATTGGTGTGCAAAAGCTAAGTGGTATAAATTATCTGGTATTATATCCTGAGGTGTTTTGTTTCCCCAAGTCCATTTGTCCTTCTACTTCCCCCTTAACTGTGGGTCATACTCCAGGGCCGCATTCTTTCTCTTCTTTTCCTGCTCTGTCCCGAAGATTCTTGTTTTTGTTTTAGGTGTCAACGTAAGCCTTATTTCCTTTATTAATGTTCCTTTCTCTCAAAGTAGCCTGAAGAAAGCGAGTTGTATTTTTTAGAGTGCCTTGGGATTTATTTATTAACTTCTTACTTTGACAATGGCTTTAAGATTTTTACTTGCTTTTACGGTTGGCATGTGAAACTGAGCATGAATTTCTCTAAATACCCATCCTTCAGAGATGTGGGAGATGGTTTAGTTACCTCAGAGAGCTAATCTGCAGGAAATTGTTTGCCACAGTTTTGAACATCTATGAATAAGTTCTGTTAGCACACATAGTACAGATTTCTTATTTCTTGTTTATTATTGCACACTGAGAACATCAAACTCCTACTGAGGATGGATTTAAACAAAGGACGTGAAGGAAAAGCATATACATGTTTCCTTAGACTATTGAAACGAGAAGTTCCAAGAGAACATAAATACGGATAACATTGAAACTTGACAGTAATCACTTGGGAAAATATTTTGAACATTTAAAAGGATATATAAACTTGATTTTTACCACTCTTTCATCCTTTGGCAGTAAAATTGGGTGGTCTATAAAATGTTTGCTTGAAACATCAATTTCTAGATCCCACTCTTCCTCCCTTGGGACCATTTCCCACCCAGATCACATAGGACAAAGACACAAGTATTACCAGTGAGGAGTCGGATTGGGGATCTTCCTAAGAGTGATGAAATTCGAGTTGGTAGATCTAGGATGTCTCTTTCTACCCTCAAGCTATTAGCAAAAGTCCTTTTCTTCTTTCTTAATGTCCTTTTCTTTGTATCTCTTTCTTTTTTTAATGTTTATTTTTGAGAGAGAAAGAGAGAGAGAGAGAGAGAGAGAGAGAGAGAGAGAGCATGAGCAGGAGCAGGAGCAGGAGCAGGAGCAGGAGCAGGTGAGGGGCAGAGAGAGAGGGAGACACAGAATCTGAAGCAGGCTCCAGGCTCTGAGCTGTCAGCACAGAGCCCGATGCAGGGCTTGAACTCATGAACAGTGAGATCATGATCTGCGCCAAAGTCGGATGCTTAACCAACTGAGCCACCCAGGTGCCCCCTTTTCTTTGTATTTCTTATATTTATGTAAATGAGGGACATTTTCCAATGAAGGGAAGCCCCCAGTATAATCCATAATAAAAGTAGGTGCCATATTCCCTTCTCATCTCTATTGTGCTAACTGGCAGAACTGAGAAATACATTTGGAAATCTTAAGTCTTGGCAATATAGTAGAAAAAAATATGGCAACATAGCATTGAGAATCGGGAAAAGATATGGATTATTTTCATTTTTAATTGTTATTTGGGAATTTCGGTTTCTTCTGACCTTAGGGAAAAATACCGAAAGTTACATGAGGCATGGATGGGCTCATCAGCTCCCCAAAGGCTACACAGTAAAACCATAAAGGCTTCCCATAGAGACTGTAAGTGGATTTTTGGCTAAGGGTAGGAAGGAGGAATGTGTT